AGGCCTGATTGGTTGATGATGCATGGAAGGGATTGTAACCATGGCAATGAAATGATATATGATAGGATGAATGTAAAACTAATGTTCACCCATGTAAACTATCACATAATTCACAATAAAATATTTTTTTAAATCCATAAATAACTTGACCTCCATATACCCCCACCCTGATTGATGGACCACAGTGACATTTTGGGTCTCCTGGAACTAGTGTCAGCTTTTCCTGCATGTCCATTATATTAGGAGCAGGCCACACCCCCAAGGAAACATCCATTTAATTAACTGGCTGCTCATAGCCAATCATCATAGAGTAAACTATGCCTATATTAGGTTTTACCATGGGGATACCCACATTTCAGCTGCCAAACCACTGAAAATCCTGGCCCAGTCAAGTAGATACAAAACCTTAACTATCTTAGGTGCCCTGACCATAGAAAACACCTAGGCCTATTGGAACTCTAACTAAGGCTGCCACTCGACTTCATGGTCTCCTTGGCTAGCAGGAGCCTCCCATAGTTTTCTCCTCTCTGTGTCCAGCCCCTGCCCTACTATTTTCCTTTTGTGTTTTTACTCCTTCTCTTTCACTTTTTGTATTTTCTGTACTTTCCTTTTGTCTTCTGTTCTTTCTCCCCTCTCCTTTCTTTTTATTACTCTTGTCTTTCTTTACTATTCTCTTGTCTCCTTCTCTTTTCTTTTCCCTCTCCCTAATTTTATTGTGTTTTTTTCTTCCTTTCCATTTTCTCTCTTCTGCTATTTTATTTTCATTTCTCTTTTTAGTTATTATATTCTTCTTCATTGCTGCTGCCTGTTGTTTTTTTTTCCTGTGCCTTATTATCTTTTTTTTTTCAGTTGTTTGTTTGTTGTATGCATATGTGTGTATGTGTTTTTATTTCTCACCTGACAGGAAATAGCAACCTTGCCTACACAGCCCAGCCACAACCATACCCTCTGCAGTCACACTCACTGGGCAAAAGCCTCTACCAGCTCCTATACCACCTGATCAATGATAGACAGCAGCCAACACCAGTCAAACCCATTCTGAACTATGCTGCACGGACGGCAAACAGAGAACTGCACACATGCTTCCATTCCCTAATCACACCCACTGGGAGGCAAGCAGTGAGTGCCTAAGAATACACCAATATACAACCAATTAAATATAAAACAACAACATCACAATGTCTCAAAGATATGAGGAAATTTCAGTTTACATGAGCTGGATGCAGAGCCAGAAAATGTTTCTGAGGAAGAAAAGGTATTGGAACTATCTAACAAAGAATACAAAAGAATGGTATTTAGGTACTTTCAATGACTAAGAGAAAGACTGAGAAAGTTGCAGATGAAACAAAGGAGAACTTTAGAAGAAAAAACTTCAGAGGAATTCAGTAAAACACTACAAGAATAAACAGACAAAACAAATGAAGAATTAGAAACAATATAAAATTGGAAGATAAACACTAAGATTTCAGAAATTGATAAAATATTGAAAGGGCAAAGGTGTAGATCTGAATCAATGGAAGTCCAAAGTAGTGAGTTTGAAGATAAATATCTCAATACTAGTATGCTAAAATTAAAAAAAAAACAAGGGAAAAATTCAAAGAAAGTCTATGATTTACGTGGGACACCATCATGAGGAAAAACTTATGTGTGTGATTAGAATTCCAAACAGTAACAGACGGGGGGAGGGGGGGGCAGTAGAGAGAAAATTGTCAAAGAATTGTTGGAACAAAACTTCCCTAACATTATGAAAGACAAGAAGATAAGCATTCAAGAAATGGAACAAACTCCAAACAGGAAAGAACCCAAAAGAAAACCACCAATACATATTATAATCAAACTTTCCAAAACCAAAGACAAGGAAAGAATCCTGAGACCAGATCAGTTAAAGTTACCTACAAAGGAAAATTAATAAAACTAAAATCTGATTTCTCAGCAGAAACCATGCAGGAAAGGAGGCAATGGTTGACATATATAAAACAGTGAAAGAAAATAATTGCCAACCAAGGGTCATATACCCTGTAAAATTGTCCCTCAAATATAATGGTGAAATTAGGACATTTCCATATGAACAGAAATGAAAGGAAATTGTAAATGTTACAAAAATATTAAAGGGAGTTCTTTGGGCAGAGAGCCAATAACAGCAGGTTAACAGACACGACAACACTTTCCAGAATTCAACCCAGAAAGATGTTTACTGTGTTTTATTGACTATGCAAAGGCTTTTGGTTGTGTGGATCATGACAGGCTATGGACAACGTTGTGAAGAAAGAGTATTCTGGAGCAATTAATTGTGTTCATGAGGAACCTGTACACAGACCAAGAGGCAGCTTCAATCACAGCAAGAGGACAATGGGTGGTTTAAAATCAGGAAAGGTGTGCACCAGGGTTGTATTCTTTCACCATATGTATTCAATCTGTTTGCTGAGCAAGTAATCCAAGAAGCTAGATTACATGAAGAAGAACGTGCTATCAGGATTAGAGGAAGACTCATTAACAAACTGCAATATGTAGATTATACAATCTTGCTTGCTGAAAGTGACGAGAATTTACAATACTGGTGAAGATCAAAGACCACAACCTTAGGTATGGGTTGCTCCTCAATGTAAAGAAAACAAAAACCCTTACCATTGGGGCAATAAATAACATCATGATAAATGAAGAAAAGATTGACATTGCTTGCCAAAGACTTCATTTTTCTTGAATTCACCATCAACACTCATGGAAGCAGCAGTCAAAAACCCAAACAATATATTGCATTAGGCAAATCTGCTGCACAAGACCTCGTTAAAAGTGTTGAAGAGCAAAGATGTCAGTTTGAGGACTAAGGTGTGTCTGACCCAAGCCAAGGTATTTTCAATAGCCTCATATGCATGGGAATGTTGGATAATGAATACAGAAGACCACAGAAGAATTGATACATTTGAGGTATGGTGTTGGAAAAGAATACGAAAAGTACCATAGATTGCCAGATGAACAAATAAATCTGTGTTTAAAGAAGTACAACCAGAATGTTTCTCAGAAGCTACAATGGCTAGATTTTGTCTCTTGTACTTTGGACAAATTATCAGGAGGGGCCAGTCCCTGGAGAAGGATATCATGCTTGGTAAAGTGGAGGGTCAGCAAAAAAGAGGGAGAACCTAAAAGATGGATTGGCACAGTGGCAGCAGTTATGGGCTCAAGTGTAGTAGCAATTGTGAGGTTAGCGCAGAACTGGAGGATGTTTCCTTCTGCTGTGCATAAGGTCTCTATGGGTTGATACTGACTTGATGATGCCTAACAACCACATCAAAATAAAATTAACTTATAAGACTCAAAATAGGGAACCAGAATTATCAATTTATATATCAAAGACAATTACAAACTTAAAAGAGTAATTATAGAACTTCCAAATGGAGAGGAAGTCAAGTCAATTTCAAGACAGAACAGACTGTTTTAACTTAGATGAAGGGATAGGCAAAGTATAATATGAAAGAGAAAGCAAAAAAAAAATGATGGAGACAGGGAAAGACACAGGGAGGAGTGTAAGTGTTAAAGGCAACAAAGGTAAATACTGTTATAGACACAATTATGCAGTGACAGTGATTCATGGAGAGATGCCCGGATAGACACATATGCTGAATGGATCTGGAAGATCCATTCAGTATACCCACAAATACATATAGGTTTGACTGAAGATATTCATACATGGCCTTTACCTTTGCTGAAATTTATATGTGAATGTGGTAGAACATTCAGGGGCCAAGTTATGAAAACTTCTTAGATGTAACTAAATACCTTGAGGGAATGGACTTGGGGACTCAGAACCATAGTCTTGGGGAACACCAAGGTTAATTGACAGTGTTCTACATCCTACTTTTGTGAGTAGTGACTAGGGTCTTAAAAGTTCATGAGCAGTCATCTGAAGTGCAACTATTGATCTCTCTCTGTCTGGAAGAAAGAAGAGGGATGAAAATTGAAGACACTTGGGAAGAAGAATTAGTTCATTGGAGTAATGGACCATGTGAACATCAGTTTCCATGACCCTGAGACCAGAAGAACTAGATAGTGCCCAGTTACCACTATCAACTGCTCTGAAAGAGATCCCATTAGAAAGTCCTGGGCAGAGTGAGATAAAATATGGAACCAAACTCAATATCATAAAAAAGACTGGGCTTACTGCAGATAGAGACTGGTGAAACCCTCAAGACTGACACATGGTCACTTTTTCAGGCTGGAAATGAACTTCCTGCCATGGCTCAGTTTGCAGTCAAGCACCAGACAGCTCTATAAGGGGAACAATAGCACTAGGGATGGATGCACACCTTAGAATAAGCCACCATTTGAGGTCAAAAGGGCATCATTTACCCAAGGACAAAGTTCAGAAGGGTTAGGAAAGAAGGAGGAACCGAAACAGGAAACACAGGGAGGAAGTGGAATGAGTGATGTTACATTGTGGAAATTGCAATCAGTGACATGAAAACAAATGTGGATGGATTGTTGGATGGAAAACCCACATCCAATTCACAAGTAAACAAAGAATCTTAAAAAAAAAAACCCAAAAAACTGATTTTCAACCACTAACATTTGTCATATCTCTGAGATATGATGCATCAGTATAGAAGTTGCCTGACTCCCTATAAGTTACCCAATTAATTCTTTATTGTAGGATATTGAGATTGGTTCCATTATTACACTGTTGTAGGCAAAGGCACCACAAACATTTCTATGGCTAAACCTTGCTACATAGTCATATGTATTTCCTGGACAACAGGGTGTGTTTTTTTAAATCATTAAATTTACTCTGAGTTATTAATATAGGCCAGAAGCAACTTATCATGAAATGGAAGATGGGGTCCTAGATCATATGCAAGGTTGGGGACTTCAGTTCTAACACCAGAACAGCCTCACTGGTTCAAGAAGAGATGGTGGGAGGCCTGGGGATGGGCAGGCTGAAAATGTCAGAGAAGACTGTAGGGCTGCCTGCCCATTCCAGAGGACAGGGAGCAGGTAGCCTTGCTTACACACTGGGCAGATAGAAGCGGTCCTTGGTACGGTGCTGTAGTAATGCCAATTTGGACACTTGCTGCAGCTGTTGCTCGCTGGGCCGGCGGGGCAGCATGCTGCTGAAAAGGCCCTTCAGGTAGTCAGGCAGAACCTGCGGGAAACAGAGATAAAGGGCTGTCAAGTGGATATCCCTGATTCATTCAGCTGGTGGGGACCTTGTTGTTGTGAAGTGCCATCGAGTCGGTTCGGGCTCATAGCGACCCTGTATAGGGTTTCTGAGAAGCGGCTGGTGGGTTTGAAGAACTGACCCTACAGCAGTCCAATACTGATCCTACTCCTAGAGATACGCAAGTTTAATCATGCCATCCTGATCCACTTCTGGGGTGAGAAGCCTGGCACTCTTTGGGGCTGTGGGAGATGACGGTGGGAGATGTTGAGTGAGCAGTATGAGCTAAGCCGCCTCAGCATCCTGGGAAGGATTTGCGCTGGTAAAAGGGGTGCAGCGATGAACAAATATCCACTAGGCCAACGACTCTTAGACTTGAGCACACCTCAACGTCACCACCAAGGACTGACTGCTATTACTAAATGTATTGTATTCCTGGCTGCTGGGGGAGAAGCGGGGGGATGTCTTATGGGTAAGGAGTTTCCTTTTGGGGCAATGAGACTGTTTTAGACCTAGATGAGCACTATGAATGTAAAAAATGCCACTTGAACATCACATGGAACTTTGGTGGTGGTGGTGGTATGCCGTGGAGTTGGTCCCGACTCATAGTGACCCTGCATAGGGTTTCTGGGGCTGTAAATCTTAACGGAAGCAGAAAACCTCATCTTTCTCCTGCAGAACAGCTGGCAGATTCGAACTGCTGACCTCGAGGCTAGCAGCCTGACTCATAACCACTACGCTACCAGAGCTCCTTGAAACATACACTTTGAAACAGCTAATTTTATGTTGTTATGTGAATTCCAACATCAACAAAAAATTCAGTCCAATGACTGGGCCATCCCCTCAAACCAAAGCCAATTCCAACTCATGACCCCATAGGACAGAGCAGAATTGCTTCACAGGGCTTCCAAGACTGTAAATCTTGATGGAATCAGACTGCCACATCTTTCTCCTGTGGAGTGGTATTTGGGTTTGAACTACCAATGTTTTGGTTAGCAGCTGAGTACTTTAACCACTGCACCATTAGGGCTCTTGTTCCATACTCAGAGGAGAATCCAACAGATCCGGGGTTGTTGTTGTTGTGAAGTGCCATCGAGTTGGTTCCCACCCATAGTGATCCTGTATAGGGTTTCTGAAGAGCAGCTAGTGAGCTTGAACCATCAACCTTGCAGTTCAAACAGCTTTGCAGTCTGACTCATTAACCCACAGTGCCACACCAGACCTGGGGTAGGACTTGTAAGTTTGCATCCTCACCAGTTCCCAAGATATGTGACTTGTCAGTCCACAGACCACACCAAACTGCACAGGACTGGTCTTCAACGACACCGTGTGGCCACAAAAGGTAAATGACTTGTGTTTTGTACTTGGAATTGCTGAAGCAGGTGGTACCAGTTACATAAAAAAACCTGATCTGTCCAAATGCTTGCCACACATATTGGCTAAGAAAGGGAAACCACTATTTTTAAAACTCATAATGCTGCTGAGCTGACTTTCAAGTTTCAAAAAAATAAAAATGCTAGTGCAGCACTGCTCAGGAAATTGTTGGTGTTGTTAAATGCCATCAAGTTGGTTCTGAGTCATAGCAAATTAGGATAGGGGAATCCAGAGACAGATACATGGAAAAAGTACTGCTTCACAGGAACCTTTGATAGGGATGAAACTCTAGTCATCAGGAAAGCAGAAAAGGGCAGCCAGGTGAAGGTGAAGCAGGTGCAAAGAGTGGCACTGTGCTGATTGCTCCAGATACCATTACAAGCAGCAGAAGCAGTAGGATTAGAAATGTCAGTGGGGACCAGACCATGAAAGCCTCAGACATCAAGGTTGAGGAGTCAGATCTCATAGGCCTAGGGGAGCCCAGAAGGCTCTAAAGAAGCTGAGTAGCCAACAATACTGACCTGGTTGTAGTGCATCATCACGTATAGCTCATTCTCAAACTTGAGTGGCTGATCCCAGAGCACACGCCGGAACCACAGCATATAGCCACCTTCCACCTGCTCCATCTCTGAGGCCACATCCAAGATGTAGGCACGGCGGCTGAGTGGGCACACATGCTGGCCTGCAGAGAGGTGGGAGACGGGGCTGGGCAGGGCACATGTGTCTGTGTCTTTGCAGACTCTAACCAGCCACACAGCAAGGCAGTACCTAGGCAAGCCACCATCCCTTGCTGGGACTGGATTTCTTCTTAAAGGAGTAGATATTTTCAAAGAAGGGGCCTAGGATATTTTATTGAAGTGTGACGTCCCTAGATAAGAATAGTTACAATTCAAAGCTACAGTGCAATGCTTCCTTTCACCGGAGGGAGAGGCCTGAATAATGCTTTTGAAGGTAGTCTGCCCCTGCGTGGGAAAGCACTGGGCTAATCTCTGAGAAAGCCAATTCTTTTCCAGAGGATACTGGGGACAAGAAAAAGCACATAAGCCTCAGATCATGACGCCAATGTGTCCCTTTCTGCAGAACTCTTTCAGAAGAGATCTAGGCCCCTGGGGATGGGGTAGAAGTAGGGGTGGGGAGGGCTGAGGCCTGGCAATGAATAGGTTGATGAAGAAGGCGTAACGTTTTATTTCGTGACCTGACCAATTACCTCCTCCCCACTTTTAGTAAAACTTTACTTAAGAGAGGTGTTTTGGGGAATGAGGACGAGAGTCCTAGCTTCTGAGGCCAGACAGCCTGAGTTCAAATCCCAACTGTATAATCTTGAGTAAGTCATTGTGATAGTTAGGTTCTATGTCAACTTGATTGAGCCAAGATTCCCAGTTGTTTGGCAGTTAATAGTTAACTCTATGATGATGGGCTATGAGCTGTTTCTTTGTGGGTGTGGCCTGCTTCCAATATATTAAACGCTCAGGCAAAGCTTGTTTGCTTTCTGCTGGGGCTGGATCTTACCTCTGGCTTGTCCCTTGACCTCTGGTTCTTTGGACTTGAGCCAGTGGCCTGCTCTATTACCTGCCAATCCTGAGAGACATCCACAGTCGCTGGATTTGCCTGCGCATATTGGTTCATCTGACATGAACTTCACCCACCTCTACAACTGCGTGAGCCATTTCTTTGATATATAAACTTCTTTCTCTCCCTCTCGCTATATATACATATATGTTGTTGTTGTTTAGTGTTGTTGAGTTGGTTCCAACCCACAGTGACCCTGTATAAGGTTTCTGAGGAGTGGCTGGTGAGCTTAAACTGCTAACCTTGCAGTTCAAATGACTTTGCAGTCCAGCGCTTTAACCCACAGTGCCACACCAGAACTCCTTATATACATATGTTGTTGTTGTTAAGTGCCATTGAGTTGATTCTGACCCATAGCGACCCTGTATAGGGTTTCCAAGGAGCAGCTGGTGAGCTTGAACCACCGACCTTGCCGTTCAAACGACTTTGTAGTCTGATGCATTAGCCCACAGCACCACAACAGGACTCTTATATGTATGTATGTATATATATTGTTAGGTGCCATGTAGTTGGTACGGATTCATAGTGACCCAATGCACAACAGAACGAAACACTGTCCAGTCAAGTGCCAATCTCACAATCGTTGCTACATTTGAGCCCACTGCTGCTGCCACTGTACCAATCCATGTCATTGGGGTCTTCCTTTTTTTCTCTGACCCTCCACTTTACCAAACATGATATCCTTCTCCAGGGACTGGCCCCCCTGATAATATGTCTGAAGTATACAAATATGTTTCACTGGTTTTACTTTTCTAGAAAACCCAGCCTAAGACATTTGGTTTTAGAGAAACAAAATCTTAAAGATGAGTTTTCTCAATTGGTTCTCAAGATCGAGTAATTTTAAAGCACCACTAACTCCACTAGTAAAGAGGGTGAGGGAGCTGCTAATCAATGGTGTGAGGTGGCATATATGAGCAATATATCACTGCTAACAGATCACAGACTGGAGAGAAGTGAGGCGCTAAGTGATCATGTGTATGCAATTTTGTCAGGATGAGCAGTTTAGAGAAGCTGGGTGGTTTTTCTGACTTCCAATAGAGAAAGTGGTAAAGGAGAGACTAAGAGGTCTAAGACTAAGAGACTAAGACTAAGAGGTCTAAGGAGTCACTGCTCAAGTGCCAAATCAAACACCTCAAAGTTTCCATTTGTGCCCTGAAAGAAAGCCTTATTTCTTGCAGTTGTTGTTGGTATTGCCAAAAACTAAACCCAGAGTCTTATTTTCAGAGTGGCTGAATTACATTACCAACTGAAATCCCAATCTGGAATGGTGTCTGATGTTAAAATGAGGGCTCTGTTTGGGAAGAAGTGGGATCCTGAAACTTGGGATAGGGACATATGACCTATAACTAGACTTAAGTACCAGAGAGCCCCAAAAGATGAAGTACAAATTGTGATCCAGGAAGAAGTATGTGACACTCCAAAAGAACTGCTTGATTTTTCTAATATGTACAAACAGAAATCTGGAGAATATGAGTGGGAATAGCTATTATGGGTGTGGGATAATGGTACAAGGAACAGAGGTTTAGAATAGTCTGTTTATTAATATTGGTCCACTAAGCACAGATATTTTAATTTTTCAGTTCAACAAGTTAGGAGTTGTTGCTGTTGTTAATTAAGTGCCATCGAGTCAGTTCTAACCCGTGGCAACTCCACATGGTTTTCTCAGGAGTAGCTGGTGAGTTTGAGCTGCTGACATTGCAGTTCAAACTGACTTTGCAGTTGCGTGATTAGCCTACAGCACCAATAAAGCATGGATTGAAGTACCAGACCTGCCTTGGAATTCTGTAGAGAAAGGAATCCAAAGTCTCCAAGAAGCTGGCATATTAGAGTGGATTTATCATGATACACCTGTAAACTCACATATGGGGTGTCCAGAGGACACACCTTTTTACCATAACAGTGAGGAACAAGTTTGTGAATGGACCCCCAGCCTCCTTGAAGACTGCTAGGATTGCTATTTTATGTAAGCCAGATTTGACAGTGGGAACTGCCCTGATTAAGTTAAAACATCTAACTATAACGGGGTTGATTGGACGTCATGATGGTAGGGGTCATGTGGCAGCCTTAATCGACAAAGAAAAGGTAGACATAGTTACCTTCATGAACAGTAGAATCAAAGTAGTAATCAGAATACTCTGACTCATGTGGATTTATGGCATTGGCTACTTAGGCATGAAATAAATGGGATGCTACTATTTACTTGATCTATACAAAAGGAGCTGCCTCCTCAAAGTAGAGATGACCGTGATGATGCGAATGGAGTAAAGCCTGTGGGAGTAAAGCCCTTGGGAACTTCATTTGATGATGGGGCACAGCTCAAAATGAAGAGAAACAGCTGTAAACATCCACTGAAAATCAGAACATGGAATGTATGAAGTACGAATCTGGGAAAATTGGAAGTTGTCAAAAATGAAATGGAACGCATAAACATCAATATCTTAGGCATTAGTGAGCTTAAATGGACTGGTATTGTCCATTTTGAATCTGATGACCACATGGTTTACTATGCCAGGAATGACAAATTGAAGAGGAATGGTGTTGCATTCATTGTCAAAAAGAACATATCCAGATCAGTCAAGAGGTACAACGCTGTGATAGGATAATACCCATGTGCCTACAGGGAAGCCCAGTTAATACCACTATTATTCAAAGTTATGCACCAACCACTAAAGCCAGTGAGGATGAAATAGAAGAATTCTACGAACATCTTCAATCTTAAATTGATCAAACATGCAATCAAGATGTATTGATCATTACTGGTAATTGGAATGCAAAGGTTGGGAGCAAAGAGGAAGGATCAGTAGTTGGAAAATATGGCCTTGGTGATAGAAATGATGCTGGAGAACGTATGATA